CGAGTTTCTTCCTTTCCTTCCTCCCAGGAGAAGCAGCAAGCTGCAGTGATGAAATAGCGGAGCCCGGAGGCACGGGGAGATAGTCCTAGCAGTGCATTTTTCTAATCCCTTTGGATAGTCAGCGCATGATGTACCAGGGTTCATACCGTTCATTTTCTTTAATTATTCCGCAGAACCAGAAGCTCAGACTCTCAACTAGCCTATACTGGTTTACCTCCAATAAAATAAGTGTATTTTACACTAAATGAAATTAGCTAATGGTTAGTTAAACAGAAGATTTTCCTCAAATTTTCATGTCAGTCTTCATTTCTTTGTCAATTTTCCATTACCTGTAGTTAAGCCCTCTGCTTGCTCCTCTCTTGGTTGCAATTCTCAAATACCTTATACACTTTTTATTTAATGAAGTTTTGCTTCTATTTCAGGGATCCTTTAGAGGGTCTGCTTTTCTCCATACCCAACAGTTTCTAGAAATCAGACCTCCATTTATGATACCACAAATTGGCATCCTGGAATTGTTGCTCTACTTCGAAAAAAGCCATCTCTCAAACTGTCTCTTTTTCAATCTCTCCTCTTAAATCAATCCCTTTTCTTCTGTTCCTCTGTGTTGCTCTCCTCTGAATTTCTTAAAATCTGTTTCTGACATTCTGCGAAATAGACCCTGACACAAGATGCATCTTGTAAGATCTCAAGCTGCCATCTCAACAGAGCTTCTTCCAAAGTGAGATTAGTCCTGGACAGCAGGTAGCAGAATGTGCAAAAGAAAAAATTGCCAAACCCCCCCTTTGGCTGGCAGTTATGGAATAACTTAACAGGCGGTTCCCTAGAAGTAGCCATCAGTAGGGTATTTTTGTCTGTTTCTAATATGAATCATTCCAACACTGGATGATTTTCTTATCCATGTGAGTTTCTGATACTTTTCAGGCTCTCTTAAACTGCTCCTAGAATGACATCATCAGGCGGTGAATTCCAGAGTTGTTCAAGCCCGATGTCAAAATAGACATCCCGGCTCTTGGTTTTGGAGGTTTGTGAGGTCAGCAGGAGACATGCTGGTGATTATCAAATCCAACCTTCTGCTTTGCAGAGGGGAATTCAGTTTACTGCCCAAGTGTGTTATGAAAAGGTTGTTCTTCATAATTAGTGGGTGTGTCTTCTCGCTGGTATTTTGCAATGAGGGTAAAAGGAAGCAACCATTTTTTCCTTTTTTCAGTCCTAGTCATTATCCCATAGACTTCTGTTAAATATATTCCTTTTCCCTTCCTCCATGAGTGAAAGAGTGCTCTAATTATTGCCATATGCCCCCTCATGTTGACTTTGCCAAAATCCATTCGTTTCTACATGAACCTTCATGCAATAGGATGTTGGCTCAGTGCAAGTCAGTTTTGAAAGAGAGTGGTGAGGCTAGGACATGCCCAGCACTGCCAACAAACATGTACTAAGGAGAGGAATTTGAGTAGGAAACAAGCTCTTCTATGTCAAACAGTTATCTGGGAGCTGTCCCCAGGACATTAACGTCTTCGTTAGTACCTAGATGTGCTGCAGTGCTGGAGCATGCCCTCTTCTCAGCGTCTGGAGAGCAGTAATTTTGCAGCACAGTGACTGGGTCGCAGTGATTCCTTCTTTCCCAAAAGGACAGATTACGAAACTCAACGCAGTCAGAGGCAACACTTAAGCAGCCGGCGTAGGGAGGGTGTCTCCTGCTGCCCAGCATCACAGCCTTCAGCCTGGAGGAGGGCCTGGAAGCAGGCAAGCCAGGGACACTAAATGAGAAGTAAGATTGAGGAAGACTGCAAAAAACACAAGGAAGCTGAGTCACCTCTGGAGTAATACCTCATTGCTACCCATTCAGGAAAACTAAAATGAACCTCAAAATGGAACCATGAGTTGGCTATATGACAAGAGAGCAGCCGTTAATTTTGGAAAAACGATGCTTTTGTCACTTTCCATGGCTTCCAGAGCTTTTTCAACCCGGTGAAGACCTTGTTTTGATATTTTGCATCCATCTTGTCTCTTGCTTTGTCATTGATTCACTGGGTATTAATCAGATCTGGGCAAATAAGCAGAGAGAAAGGGAAGAAATTTCATGTTGTGAGGGAAAAGACAGCCAAATTATTTGAGGAGAGCAGAAGGCAGCATAGGTCCTTCAGAATCAGTGGTGATAGAGCCCTGAGTGAGGGAAAAGAAGGGCCAAAGTTAAACGAACTCCTCCAGGTGCCTAATTTAGGCAGGGCAAGGCCCCCTTGGCTGATTCAGCTCCTGGCGCAGTGACTCAGAGCACCGAAAACTGAGCTCTTAGATAATCCACACAGAGAGAGCCAGCTACCTCCCAGGAGCAATCCCAACTATTTGAGTGAGACACTCATCTTCCTCCTAAGAGCCCTCCAGGCATCCCAGATGTCTCTGCAGGGCAGCTCGCCACTCTCATCTAAGGAGTATGCATGCAACCATGGGAGCCAACAAATAAGAGACCCTGGGCGGAGGGATGTGGAATTCAGGCAGCAGCATCTGCATGGGAGATGCCACATCAGGATTTCTCAGGGAGGCTGGCAGAGAGGAGTCTCCTCTTACACAACACCCGTTGCCAAGGGAGGGTTCACTAAGGGAGCTTTCATGGTTTTAGGACCTCCTGTGCCTCAGGGCAATTGCTGCTCCCACCTCCAGATAAGGACCCTTTTATGTAACTTGAGATATGGGTCAATCTTTGGCCCACGTGCATGGGTTGTGTTGCTGGGCAGTAAGGAATGCAAAACCTATGGGATGAGGGAGAAACCAGGCAAGAGGGAGGCAGGCTGGGGCCCATGGATGGAGCTGCTCCCTTAAGGATGCGACTCCTGGCTTCCCAGTGCTGTTCATAACTTCTCCATGCAACAGCCATAAGCAGACCATGAAACCCTCCACGGCAGAAGCAGGCTCTACCACGTGCCTTCACCCCCTTTGCCCACACATTTTTATACCTTCCTTCAAGTGCCAGGTTCCCTCCCAACCCAAAATGGAGGCATCTGCCAAGTTCAGATTGCACAAGACATGACTTTATTTTAAACCTGGATGCCAAGAGCAGGTCCGTGTTCACAAGCTCAGCAGGACAAGACCTGCGGCAGTACTAGCCCCAGCTTGGCCTTTGCCTGTGCCAACCAGCATTGTCCCTAAGAAATCCTAAACCTGTGGATAGCGAAGGCTGAAGACTACTTCAAAAAGTTCAGTTGTTACCACCTTACCATCTGGGTGTGGGGCAGAGTATGGCTATCCAAGGCCACAGAACAGTTCTTGGCTCATTCGAGGTGTTCAAATGTGTGTGCCACTTGAATATCTCTACATCTGGCAGGAGGGGAAGAAAGGTGAAGAGAGTAGCTGTGGGATAGCAGTGCGATAGAAACTGTGAGGACAACAGAGAGTCTCATGGCTGAAGACGGAGTATCCTTGGCCAACCTTGCATTTGCACCAAGGAGAAAAAAATGAGCTGAGGCTCTAGCAAGAAAATAGAGGTTGGAGGTAAAGCCCAGGCTAAGACTGGATGAAGAAGCCAACAAGGAAGGCTGGGAAAGAAAAAAGCCAGGGAGTGCATAGGTGGGGGTCGGATGTGGATGGGAGGATGGGTGGACAAGAAGGGATGGGAGCAGGCTGGGGTGAGCTGGAGCCATGAGACCACATTTCCTTTACAAACCTGTTATAAAGATCCGGCTGTTTCTGAGTGGTGTTGTTCCTCTGCTCTCGGCAAATACCCAGCAGAGTGAGCAAAGCGTGTAGCTGCTCTCCCTGTGCAATGAGTCTACAGAGAGAAAACCAGCTGGGTGAGCTGCACCCAACTAATTACCCTGGGAGATCTTCGTTGCAGTAATCCTAGTGGAGAGCTTCTTCAGCTCAGGAGAAAGCATTTCAGCCTCCTGTGACTCACTTCAGAAGGGTTTAAGTGAGCAAATCTCTCATTCCTAGCTAAGATTATCCACAAGGAAGGTCAGTGCAGGGGGATGAGTTCCTTCAGTTTTAACCCCAACAGGAAACTTGACTAGCAAACATAAAAGATTTATTTTCAAAGTTAATATTTTGTTATAGATGAAGCTGAAATTTTCAGATTCCAGCAGACACACGGTAGAAACCATCTGTCTTTTCTGATGATTTTCCTTTAAACACCATGCAAGATACTTTTCTCCCCTTTCAAAATAATCCGTAATGCTTATAAAGCAATTTCCACTGGAAGATCTTAAATCAGTTTAAATAAAACTTAATGCTCAAGATCGCTTGGTGTTGAGTCCTGCCTTGTCCCCTCTGTTTGCCTGCTGGAGAGCTCAACTGCCATTTCCTTTCAGCCAGCTGACCCAGAAGAGAAATTGAAAGCAAGTTAAATAGAATACAGTTTACTCTGAAATGGAGTCATAAAATGACACTTCTGCCAATGCAGAAAAAAAAAAAAAAAGAAAATCTGGGGAGAGGCTTCCTGAAGTGAATGCAAAGCAATTGCAATATATTTCAGCATTATTTCAATTTGACTTGCAGACTAACGCCTCCGCTTTTGTTGCTGCTAACATGGATGCATCCAGCCTCTACGCCCGATGTACCATACCACACAGTCACACAATGGAATAAAATGACACTTTATTGTGCCCAGCTTCTGTTTAACAACTATAATATTAAAGGCTTCCTCAGAGCAAAATGATACAGGGCAGAAAATGGTATGAAGGGAAAAATGGCACAAGAGAATGGCAGGGACAAAATGAAGGGGAAAAAAATGCAGGGAGTTACAAAGGCCAATAGTAAGAGACACGGTGACTATATGGTGCCCTTCTGCATGTGCAGGGCTCCACATCGTGCCTTTCTCTTCCAAACACCATTTTGAGGTAGGGCTGTGCTCTTATGCATTGTCATCAGAGCACGGAAAGAGCAAAAATATTTGCTGATGGGATGTGACCTTCCAGGTAGGAGAAACCGGGCAGCATTCACAGTGTACAGATGAGAGTTTGATCCCTTGCAATGCAAGGCCAAGCAGCTCTTTTCCACCCCCAGCCCCCTTAAAAACCCAGCCGGAGGATGCAAGTGAGACTGGCCAAGACGCCCAGAGCTATCATACTGTAGCTGGTTTTCACACTGCTGGCACCACTGATGTTGCACAAGGAAGTCTCGCAGCAGCTGGTAGCAACACTGGCTATGCCGATATTCAGGTCAATCGTTGGGCAAAATGCAGAACATTTCTTGTTAATACGCTGGTTACGGTCATTGCCTGAAGTGGGAGAGGGAGAAAACATGGAAGAAAAGTCAGTTTTTTTATCTTGTATATTTTTTACAGCTTTCAGTGATAGACTGGCTGTGCAATAGCCAGTGGGGAATACGTTGTTCTACACTTAATGCTGTTGGTTTTGCCTTGGGCTTTGTCACACTGCATCATTATTTGTGCGTATGTGACCTGTGGAGACCATCTCCAGGCCTTATGACTCCTCTGCTGTTTTCAGGGCCAGCTGAGTGCAACCTAGGGCAAGAATTTGGAGATCTAATGCATTTGTATAGTGCAAGATTGCAAGACATAGTCACCCCCATGCCTTGGGATTGCTCCTCCCACAGTACGTGGCCCTTTCCAATTCCACCACCTCATGAGCATATGTTTGAGCTTGGAGATGAGACAAGGGGTTTGTGCAGAGAAATCCTCTCTCTTCCAACGTCTCCCATTCCTGAGTGTGTTTAATCAGCAGTGCAGTATTGTTACGATATATTGCAACAGAGACGGGCTATGCTGAGTTCCCACCTGCTGCAAGATTTGCTCTCTGTGTGCTATGATACTCACTAATTCTTCCACCACACCTCATGGTGGGAGGAGGCTCTGCAGTCAGCCTAACCTGAACCCCATCTTGTCATCAGAGCCTTGGAAAAGCTTCACACTTACCAAGTCCCGTGATAGAATAGGTTGTGAGACAGTACTTCTCATGGTCAGAGCACGTGGTTGTACCAAGACAATGTATATTGGAAGATGCATCTTTGCATGTGAAACATGTCAAGGAGAAAGCTGCAAAAGAAGCACACAACGCCCATCAATCACCTCTAGAAATATCTGTAGGAGCACAAAACTGGTGGTGCTGGTCCAGATGGAGGATCTGCCAAGCCCAGCGGCCACAGGCAGACAACCTCCTGGGTGCGTGAAACTTGGCCCCAGCGACTCTCCTGGACCCAAATTACTTTAAACTCAGACTCCCGACACTGACGTGGTTTGCTCATCTAGTAACCCTCAAGGGATCTTCCTTCTGGATACTTACTAAGTCTTCCCTGAATCCATTTAAACATCTGGTATCCCCAGTGTGCTTTTGGAAAGAGCACGCCAGTCTAATACCACTTGCAGCATGAAGCTCTTGTGGTTTCTTTCCAACCTGGCTCCTCTAAGCCCCATTTGCTGGACACTAGTTCTTGTGTGGAAAGAGACCTTGTGGAAAGAGTCCATGGGATTCCTGTCCCCACTCTTTCACATCCTCTTCAAGTCATCTGAAGAGTCCTGGCCTACACATCCTCTCTCAGAGCACACAGACCAACAGTGAATTATTTAAAAAAAATTTTTTGATACAAAAAGTGAGACACACACCTAAGAGTAACCCCCCTGGCCAGACTAGGGATGAATATTTTGCTGCATGCCCCCCCAGCGTATCTTAAATGAGGGACGAGTGACCTAGATCTGCTTCTCAGTGTTTGCTGGGAATATGAATGCTTGCATTTGGCTGGTTCATTTTCAGAGCACTCCTGTGTCGGGAGGCAATCTTGGACCTGTAGAAGACAGAGCTCGGCAAATCACCCCCTTGGCTGCAGCAGACTCCTTTTTACAGCCATCCGTGGGTGATGACTGCCTAACACTACAAAATGTGTACATCTGTAATGCTGTGAATCTGCAAACGCTGTGCTAATACGAATGAATGAAAACAGCTTGCACTCAAGTAAGCTAAAGCAGTCATTCATAGCAAAGAGATCCTCAGGGAAGGTTTCTTTGCATGATAAGAGGAATTTCCTACTCATCTGTTTATCTGGAGCAAACACTCCTGCAGTAATGTCACCCACCGGGGATTAGGCTCATTCGTCTCATTTCTAGGCTATCCATATCTATGGCCAGTTAATACCCATCTTATTTTTCTACCAGCACTGTCCTTTGCTTTCCTTGCTCTTCATCTCCCTCACTCTTCTTCTCCCTTGCCTGAGCTTCTTTGCCCTTGTTGGTGCCTTTGCCAGCAGTGTCCTGACCTCATTGCTGCCCTTGTTTGACCTCAGACAAGCTCATCTGGCCCAAACAGGCTCTCTGCTCCCTATCGTGCTACTAGCCCAGAGCTGGCCCCAGCTCCGACCGCCACCCAGGTGACCAGGGTGTGCGCTGTATTTCATAGGAAGCCACAAAAATGCCTTTTAGGGCACTATTCGTCCTTCTCTGACTGTGGAAACTGTCTTCTGTCCCCACTCCAGCTAACAGCCCCTTTGCCCTTTCCATGGCCACCCAGAACTGACCATCGGCTTCCTCTTGTGGTCTGTAGTCCTCCCTCTGTTCCATGCTCAACACCCTTACGATTTCAAAAGCCTCAGACCTGGCACCCGGCTCACTCTGACTTGATACCAAGACTGTTGCAATTTGCTTCCTACCTTGGTCATGGTCGCTTCCGTCTCCAGACTCTCTGGGCTGTCCTGCCTGGCTCTTGCATTCAGTACTCTCCTGACTCTGCAGGCTACATGGTTTTTTTTTCAAGTCTGGGACCCTCCTTTAGACTATCTGCACTTAAAGCAGCGTGGCTTCATTCTCTTTCCTCGTGCAAAGCCCACACAGGTACATTTCTGCTCCACCCCACTGGGAACCACCCTTTCCTCCCAGAATAACTCTACGCTAGAGCAGAGTCCCCAAACTGGGTTTTCCAGACATGTAACCCATTTTATTCCTTAATTAACACAACTGGGTTTTCCGGACATGTAACTCATTTTATTCCTTGATTAATGCAGCTTCTTTAATCAAGCCCATTCCAAGAAAAACTTCCTGAATCTATGCAGGAAACAGTGGAGCTTGTTACATGCCCAAGTCCTGTTTCATCCCAACCTCCCAAAGCTGCTAATTTAAGAGTACAGTTTTCCTGGGACTCTTCTAGCCAGGGGAGGGGGCAAGCACCTGCAGAGGTGAGATTGCCAAAACATTTCTGTGCTCAGGAGGTTTCTCTCTCAGTCCCATTTACTACAGAGGACTCTGGAGGCATGTGGGCTCCTAACCTGGTAGCTCAGTTAAGACCCTGAAGTCAGATAGGACAATTTTGATCCTCTGTCCCGGTAAGAATGACAGTTGCTCATGCTACTGAAAAACACTTCTGATTTTATTGCGCCTGTTGAGATAGCCATTGTAATGAGGACTAAGCGGGCAAGGGAACAATATTCCTTTAGAAACGTGCTCCACTCAGGATGCAAACCTGGGGTTAAACTAGGCTGCCTTTGGAGGTCTCCTGTCTGTGCCTAGCGAGACCTCTGCTCTAACTGAAAAAGAATATTCCTCAGGGAAGATTTTCAATGTGAATAATTCAAGCCACCCAGATAAACAACTTACACATGTAAAGCATTAGCAAGTGCCACTGCCGGCGGATGCAGGATTTACACGGTTAAAATCAGTTGGGTTCAGGATTAATTGGAACAGCAACCAGCCTTCTGGCTAGATTGCACAGTGAAGTGGTGCTGCGTATGTGTTAATTTTCACCAACTCCTTTGGTAAGTTTGCTGTCTCATTACGTGATCTTTTTAAAAAACGTGATTACAGTTGATAAGCAGCAGGAAAGAATCCTTTTATTGCCCTCAACTTTCTCAACCCAGTTGAGCACAATGATTTAGCACATGCCAAACTTAAAGCCTGTGAAGTCCCACAGTAAGAACATATACAGCCTCAAATTAAGTGTGAGCCTAAGTGCTCTGCTAGACCGGGACCAGAATGGCAAGTAATTTGCAGGTAAAGCCCTACAGCAGAGCCTGAGAAAAAATCGGTTTGCAATAAGGCAAAAGCCCCCCAAACTGAGGAAATCAGCTATTCCCCTGGAATAGTCAGGGGGATATTCAGGGCTGCACCCTCTGTTCCTTGCCTGACCCACAGCCCGCCCCTGTGCAAACGGGGCATCTTCCAGAGGCACAGGCAGCGGTCCTTGGCAGAGCCCAGCCAGGCAGAGTTAAAGTGCATGTTCCCAGTGCATCTTTCCCAAAAGAAAGAGCCACCAGTTATCAGAATGAGAACGGGACTCTGCGTCTCCATCCCAGACCTGGGATCAACGTCGGCAAAGTTGTACCTCAAAGCAGCAAGCTGCAAGAAGGAGACGGGAGCCAGAATTGCATCTTCTTGTGGCATGCCCATCACTACCAATTTAGGTAATGATGGTTTGTAATTGCAACCAATAAACAAGCAAGTGAAAAAAATAATAATCAGGCTGTAGTTAGTTATATGTCGAATTTGCAGCTTTATTGTACATATTGCCCTTTGCCTGTCCAGCTCTGTATATCCCTCAACTAATCCCCCTTCTCACGGAGCCGCACCAAGGGTTCTCAGCTGCCTACAGTGAGCCACTCCAAGGGCTGGGCTGGGACTGTGCGAGTCAGGTGAGATGGGTATCTCATCCCCCACTTCAGCTCCTCAGCATCCTTCCAACTTCTGGTGGGGATACATCCCCTGGCTTCTTATCCTGAGGACTGGAATATTCTCTAGAGCCTAACAACCCTTCGTTAGGCTTTACCATTCGTGCTGCAAAATCCTCTTGTCATCCTGCAGTATCAAAGGCATGCCCCAACTCTGGGGGTCTCGCTAGTGCAAAGCAATCCTTGGAGACTCACCACTCTCCGTGCACAGGGCTACGATGAGCGCGACGAGAAGAGAAGTCTTCATCCTTTATAGGTCCCTCAGCCTCCAAAACAAGCAGGACTCACCCAGGGCAGGTTTTATACCTCTGCAGTGTTTGCTTTGATGCTAGGCTAATAACAGTAGGGTTGCTGTGTCAGATGGTGGATAATTGAGAGTAACGTGTCAGTGCTTGTGTGTGGAAGTATGCTTTGGTGGAAATCTAAACAGGCATATATTATCCTCCCCCCGCTTCTTCTTTTCCTAGTTGTTTCACAATGCAGTTTGTTCACCTGATGTTAAGTATGCAACAGTTTCTAATTCTGGATAAGTGGAAGAAAAGCAAAACACAAAAACAAAACAGTGTCCACGTGAGAAGAGGAATGTTTTCCTTTCCAGCTCAGCTTGGGTCTCAGAGCAGGCTGCATCCTTGAAGATCCTGTCCTCGCACACTGTTTTAGTACATATGGAAATTGATTGAATTTGAAATTGAAATTGGGACTGAAACTTCTACAAAATGTCTCCCAGGATTGTCAATACAGATAGATCAGAAGAGCAGACTCCTTCCACTGCATTTCATAGGGGACCAGACGTCATTTTCTGTGGGCCTTTTTGAGACAGCAGTTCAAAATCGTAAATGTTTCTGTTCTAAAATTGGATATTTTGTATGAGGGAAAATGTTCTCTTACTAGAAAATAAATTCCACTGGGCAATGAAAATGACCACTTAAATTAAAAAATAAAATAACACCCACCCCCGTCACATTGAACAAGCTGTGATTTTTTTTCACAAATTACAAAAAATAAATGTCAGGAGAAAAAAACAAACCAGTAAAAGCATGGAGAATGAGGGATTGCCTGATCAAGGATCTCAACTCATTAAATCTTCAGAAAAAAAAATTATAGCCAGCCAAAATTATGCTCTTTCCTCCTTTTTTATCATGTTTCATCCTATCTCCCTGTATAAAATCGGAATCTTTCCCATCTTATTCTGATTGCAGTTGCTTTTTCCTCCCACCGTTGTCTTTCTGCCATCTAGTCGTGGGGACGGAGGCACAGTCCCAGAAACGGTCCAGCTGGATCCCTTTCACGTGACACTCAGAGCTTCAGGAGCAACCTGCGTGCCCCAAGCCCCTGCCAGCAACTCTGCCCCTTGCTGCTCTCCATCTGTTTTGTTCCCCTTTTTTCTTAGTCTCCAAGTTGCTCAGATTTCCATCTCCCATTGAATATTTCGGCTTCCAATATCACCCACCTACAGTCATTATCTCATCGAAAAGGCATGCCCAGTTCTTGAGGTGATGTAACTCTTTCCAACACCTCTAAATTAGACGTATAAATATTGTTAGTATGGAAACCTGCGTGACTAAGGTGAGGAAACTTCTGCTTTCTCAATAGGTAGAGCATGAAACTCAGTTGGAACAGAGGTGGCAATTAACCAAGAAAGCTCAAAGGAGGGGTGTTGTTTGGCTTCATAAGGCCAATGCCTTTGTAAGGCACCAGGCAGGAGGAAAACAGAAGTTGGCACCCTCCATGCCAGGCACTGCAACCCTCTCTTCCTTGTGAAACATTTTATTTTCCCCAATCCAGAAGGGATTTCATGAATCTTTATCGGTAAATCAACTTTTATTGCTGACTATTTGAGGTAATAGCAGAAAAGGGGGCTCTGCCATTCTGCAGCCTGTACGTTGCCTGCAGAGGCAGCCCACATTCAGATTTATTTCAGCCAACAGCATCCATTTACAGGTACAGAAATAGCAGCTCAGCCAGGCACTTTTCCCCCCCCCCGCCCTCCCTTGTAGTCTCATCCAAGCAAAAACTAAAATATCTCGTCTCCTGCAAGCTGCTGAGATTTTGAGATGGCGAGGCTGTATTTCTTAAAGGAGTTATTGCAGGATTTCTGACAGTCGAGATTTTCCATTAGATGGTCCTGCACTCTCCCAACTGGTCCCGTATGTCCCCCTGATAGGAATGTTACCTTCACCCCTCACCAGTGCCAGATGAGATAGATTGAAAAGAACCCATGGGGGTAGAAAGGACACAGATGATCAGAACACCAGAGGGAACAAGGCAAAGGAGAAGATACTATCACGGTTTACAAGTATTTGGAAGCTATGAACTTCAAGAAGATTTTGGAAAGAGTAACAGGGGTTTTAATGGGGGGTGGAGGATGGGGTGGAAAGACTTATTTCCCTTGACACAGTTTCTGAGTGGAGGAGGAAGGAGAGTGTTTTGCTCATCTTGTTCTAAACCTGGTTGAAATTGTCACGTGAGAAGGGCAAACAATATCTTTATTTTGGTGAAAACATGTAGTTTTCATGAAACAAAAGCTGAAATTTAAAAGTAACTGTGAAATTCAGATGTTCTTACTAAATGTGGATTTTCAAGTTGGCCAAAAGCTTTGAGAATCATTTCTGAAATTATTGTGATTAATATATAGGAAAAGTGATGGGAAAAGTGGTTAAAAAGAAGTGCAAAAAACAAGTTTCTGTTGGTTCCTTAGCACAGAAATGCTACAACACTACCATTCTTCAGTTAGCCCATCTCGTATTTAAATAAATGCCAGAACACCCTCCTTGCCCAGAAATTGAATCTTTATAGGATGACTGAACCTAATCCCATCTTCACAGCCTTCGGCCAACGCTGCAGTTTCTCCCCGTTGCACGGAAACACATGCACTTTGCAGCCGGTCTTGAGCGCTGATGGAGCAGGACTCCCCTCATATCCAGCTGGGCTGCAAACATCAGGGCTTTTTTCCAGGTGCCACTTCTCTACAAGCCCTCCCGAAATGCAGCACTGCACTTCTAAACTGCTCAGCTGGGAATTACGCACCCTCCAGCTCCAAGAGCGCGTGTATTTTGCCCATCTTAGCTATAGCTCTGCACCTCCAAGAGCTGCAGGGGATCTCAACCCCATCTCCTCCATCCCCAAGCCTGGAAATGCAGCAGCGACAGAGGAAAGGGAAGGAGCAGAGACCCCCCCCACCAGATCAGACACCCGTTGCCTCTGCCAGGCTCTTTCTGCCTGTTTCCTCTGTCGCTGCAGGGAAGTCATGAGCAATCACTCAGACAGCAGCACCTTCTCCAAGCAGGCACGGAGGTCCCCTTTCCATGAGGACAGGTTCCAGCAGCACCGTCCTCATCTTGGACATCTCCAGCATCTTCGTGTGGGCCCTTTACCTATTTTAAAAGCTGAAACCATCCACCCTGCAGAGATCACACGAGAACTTTGCGGCATAGCCAGGAGCACAACCAATACCTGGCCAATCCCCAGCCCTGCGTGTTAGCAGGTACAAAACAATTCTCGCTGTTGCTTGCAATGGGAACACCACAAACATCTTTGACCTTTCCAGATTGTCACCTTCCTTTGTTAGCACTGAGTGATCAGGCAGAACATCTGGCTTTATGGAGTGTCTGTCTTGAGCTGCTGGATGCAACAGAGTCAGCTAAGAAAGGCAGCCAGGAGAAGACTCCCAGGTGCTAAAAAGAGGAATTCAATGTGAATTAGAGATTCAGATTACAGACCTGTCTGGCAGAGCTCTTTTCTCAGGCTGATCTTAGTGTGGATATAACAAACACGCTCTAGAATAACACAAATCTTTATTTTGTCTGACGATTGTCACACATGCGCTATCAAAAGAGCTTTTGCAGGGAAAATTAGTACAAAACAACAACGATACAGGGGGGGAAATAGGAGCTACACTGCGGTGCCATTTTGTGGATGGGATCTGAAGCAATGTCTTGGAAAAAACAGGGTAGCATAGACCCTGTTGGAGACACTTGACAGAGGATGTTGGTTTCTCAGTTGGGGAATACCTTGTAGGTTCTTGGGTTGTCACATCTTCTCCCACCCCTCATCACAATCCTGCCCTGATAACACAGATCAAACTGGCCACAACTCCCAGGAACATCACGGCGTAGCTGATTTTTATGCTGTTGGCACCACTGAAATTGCACAGAGAGGTACTACAGCATTTGGTGGAATAAGCCGCCACACCGAAGTTCAAGTTTGTCTCAGGACAGTCTACAGAACACTTCTTGGTGATGCGGTGTCCCATGTCCTTGCCTGGATGGAGAATAGACAAGAAAGGAGAGCTGTGATTTAAGATTCTTGTGCAAGAGCTGACCAGAGGATGATAGGAGGAGGTATATTGCACTATGCTCAATTTGCGATGCAGCAGTAACAGCTATCAGCGGATTTGATGAGTGCTGGGTGAGTATCCACACAACCTGGATCAAATGCGTGACACTAGAAAGTCCTTGGTAGAAATCCACACCATGCTTCCCATAGGACAGCAAAAACTCACTGCCAATGCACTGTACATTTCTAAAACCACATTACTTACATCCAACCCCTTTCCAACCTCCATCACAAAGCACGTGTGTGAGCTCTCAGCTCAAGCAGCAGGGTCTGCTCACGAAAATCTGTGTGCTTCAACCAGCCCTGCCACAAGGTGGTGAGGAGCATACCGCAGGTGGTGGATCACAGAGCACCGCTGAGGGATTCACACACGTTACGTGTTGTGATCCGTAAACCTCAGTGATCGATTCTTTCCAACAAGACCAACTAGTGCCCTAAAAAAACTATTGCCCATCAGTTTCCCTGGAGGGGGAAAAAAAAAAAAAAAGCCTTGAGGTGTTGGAGATACTCACCAAACCCAGCAGAGCTGTATGTGGTTGTACAGTATTTCTCATGGTCTTCACACTTGTAGGTTTTAAGACAGTTCCAGTTGGAGTGCTCGTTGTCACACGTGTAGCAAAACAGCGAGGAAGCTGGAAAGAGCGCAAATGACACATATTAGTGGTTTCCAGCAGTGCTCTCCTGGGAAGAAAGCGTCAAAAGCCATGTCCCTTCTTGGAAAATACAAGGTGAAAAGTATGGTACGAGCAAGTCTTCATGACAAGTGGCATTAGAGGTTGGTTTTGATTAATGAAGCTGAAAAAGCAAACAAACAGAACAAAACAAGTTTTCTTTCTTTACTTGAGATTTTCAGTGATTAAACTTGAAAACACATTTTTTCAGCCTGAGCAGCACTCTCGGATGACCTTTCTT